TTGATTGCCTATATACCCGAGTGGCCGAGTTAGAGAACTTGTGTTCCTTTTACCTCCAATCATAGGTTGCTTCACAACCATTTTTACGTGTACTTGTGATTGATAATGATGTAGTTGAGTTATATACAGGAATACAGATTTATCAAGTTAGACTTTAAAAGTTTCTGTTGAACACACCCTTTTTCTAGTTAATGGTTGCTCCTTTCGTTACATTGTCAATAAACTGGTTGTTTGATGAGATTCTTACCTTTTATGCTCTTATTATGTGCAGATATTAGAAGGGCTTCTTAAGCTGCCGGAAAATAAGGAGTGTGCTGATTGCAAAGCTAAGTATGTTTTCTCAATTCTTTATCGTTCTCACTGTTCTAGCACTGAAGCAAGTCCTATTTTACACCATAACTAGCCCAATGCTATTTCGAATAAATGCATGATAATTGATTTCTGTTTTTGCAGGGGACCACGATGGGCTAGTGTTAATTTAGGCATTTTTATATGTATGCAATGTTCTGGGATCCACAGAAGTCTTGGTGTTCACATATCAAAGGTAGTGTTTTTATTTATAAATAGCTGAAGAAAAAGAATTCTTCGCTTCCTTGGAAATACTGACGACATTGGAATTATGCATGGGATGTATTAGTCAGTATAGCGAAGATATGCATGCCTAACTCTTCTTCTTGACCATTTCCATGATTATATTTTAAAAATATCGCTTGCATATTCATCTTTTATCTTGACTGGCACTTATTCCTTATGACCCCGGTAATTGGTTCAATTGTTGCTTCTATCCTTTGAGTAACTTCTCCTCGAGAAATTCAATTTGTCTTAGTATTTTAGGCATCAATATATGTCTTAAATACTTTCATCTTCTAATGATAAATCTTTCAACATATATCGCTAGCATGTTGGCAATTAGTCTTATGGTTTGATGGTTCTTTTTTCAGGTACGGTCTGCTACCTTGGATACTTGGCTTCCAGAGCAGGTTACTTTTATTCAGTGTATGCTTTCCAACCTATAGTTTATCTTTTTCGGTCAATATTGATTTCTTTTCTTACCAAGATTGTGTTTTTGTAGCAATGGGGAATGAGATGGCAAACAATTATTGGGAGGCGGAGCTACCTCCAAATTATGACAGAGTTGGGATTGAGAATTTTATTCGTGCAAAGTATGTTTAGAGTTTGCCTGCCTTCTAATAGATGTTCGTTTGGAGTTTGAAGTTAGATGTACCCATTAACATTCTCTTACAATACAACTATACTGCATCAGCAATGTTTATCAGTATCGTGAGGTTTAAAAGTACTCTTCTTTATGCAAATTTTACAGATATGAAGACAAGAGATGGGTTGCTAAGGATGGAAAACCAAAATCACCTTCTCGAGTACAGGAGGAAAAGCCTTCTTTGCATGGGCAGAGGCCTGCAGAAAGAAGTGGGTCAGGGTATTCAGGTCATTCTGAAAATTTGTTCGAGGAAAGGAAGAGAGTTCAATCTCGTATTGTGAAGGAGAGTATACCTGCCTCGAGAGTTACTCTTCCAGTTCCTCCCAGAGGACCTGAACAAGTATGTTGGCTTTTCTTTCCTGTTTATTAACTTCCTTACTTAAAAATTGGATGTTTCTGCTAAGAGTTCTATAACGAATTTCATCATGTGAAAATTACTTTTGATTTAGGACATGTTGTGGAAGAGAAAAAGTACGCCGAAACTGTGAATTGAAAATTAGTTATGTAGCTAGAAGTTCATTTCATAATATTACTTCTTTACTACTCAATGAACTTATGGTTGTTTACTTGTGCTTATTTCAACGGTTATTCATTCAAAATTAAAGAGAATATGTGTGTGCTATTATTTGTTAAGCCATCAATAATGTAATTAGTAGTGTTTTCACGAATGAGTCATTTTGATTTTATCTGGTCGTAGGACCAAACCGGGGTAATTGTGGCGTTGCCTCCGGTCAATTCAGGGTTATTATGTCCATCTTTTCTTTCGACCTTTTTTAAAATCTAAACCTTGGAACTAAATGTGGTAAGATTTTTCTAATACATTTGTTATCTATATTTGTATAGGTTGCTCCAGCCCCCATACCATGCCAAGATCCAAAACCTGAACCAGTTGTACAGCAAGCCGAAGCAACGAAACAGACTACAAATGATGCCCCGGCTGTCTCTCCTCCAAAAGTTGATTATGCTACTGACCTCTTCAACATGTTATCCTTTGATAGCCCTTCTGCTGATGGTTCAGTAGCAGTTTCTGCAGATGATAGTGCATGGGCTGGCTTCCAGTGTATGTTTTTAACTTCTCCTTGCGTGTGCATTTTTAAATATTTCAGGAATTATTTAGATATATGTTCAATGTTACAGCTGCTGAAGAAGCATCATCAGCAGAGAAACCTAGTCCAGCTAAGCCAGCTGAAGCCATTACCCAACCCTCTTCTGGAATTGAGGATCTTTTCAAAGATACAACTTTAGTTTCACCTGCTTTAGTTCCCAAAAAACCTTCAAAAGATGTTAAAAATGATATAATGAGTCTTTTCGAAAAGGTAAACATTTCATTATCACTCTTAAGATTCGATACTGTCCTTTTCAGTAAAGTTTGCTACTTCTCTATAAACTTTTGAGGTGGAATTATTTGTTTTGTACATCTCTTTTGGTATTTTCAGTTGAAAGAACTATTTTTATTCTTTATTTTAATTTTGACTGAATTAAGCTATTTAGTTGTACAAAATTTGTATGTAAAACAGCTACTTGATTAGAGAGTTCTTCTTCTTCTACTGACAGTTGTATGTGATATTTTGATTTGAATACCTGTAGTCCAATATGGTCTCTCCATTTGCTATGCATCAACAGCAACTTGCCATGCTAGCTCAACAACAATCACTTCTCATGGCTGCTGCAGCTAAATCAGCTGCTGGGGACCCAAAATTTAGCAATACACAAACTTCTGTCCCCAACGGTACCAATGTTCCTCCTCAAAGTTGGCCAAATGTTGTCTACCCGATTCCTGGATTGATGATGCAAATATGTGCCCAGGGTGGGCCGCAAACTACAGTGCAGGTAGTTGGAACTGTTCTTATGATGTTCATTTGAAGCTAACTTAATTGAGAATCATCCACATAGTTTCTAATTGTTCTTATCGATATTTTGTGAGTTAGATGATGAACAGGGGGCTGGCAAATCCAGTTGGGAGTTCTGTTCCATATCCAACATCTAGGTAGGCAATTATATACCTTTTTATGATACCAACGAAATTTCAAGTTCTGAAAGACACTTCAAAGTTCAAGATACAAAAAGTTTTCAACTCGAGAGTTACAAGAGTTTCATGAAAAAAGTTGTCAAATAAGTTGCAGTTTGTGCTTATTTCCATTTTCAAGGCTCTGTTCTATCAAAGCATAAGCATAATGATGATGTTCTATCAATTCGTTCTCATAATTCTCTTGCAGCCTTTATAGCCTCAGCCAAGTTTCTTCAGAGCCAGTTAATGGCGTGACCCCCACAGCAAAAAATAAAACTCAATCGTCTGCGTCAATACCATCAGCGACTCCTTTGCAGTCGCAGTCAGGAAAAGAGTACGACTTCTCGTCTTTAACACAAGGTATGTTTTCAAAACATTAAACACTGGTGTTGGATTAAGGATGATTATGATGGTGGGATGATTTGGTTGGTGGTATACCAAGAAAGTTAAGTCGCAGAAAGATTAGAAGTGTCCAATTTTTCCACCTGTAGTGGGGATTGTAAACTATATTACTTGTAGAGAGGCAGTCTCAGTATTCATATTTTTATATTGTTTGTTCCTTTTCGAGTGAGTGATTTCTTCATTTGTATTATTATGAGTAGCTGACCAATAAAGAAGGGATTAGATTAATATGATTTATCATCTATACCATTTTGTAGTTGCTTGCTTTTAATGTTCTTGATTTGCTTTTCATTTGTAGTTAGTTTTTAATGCTTGATTTAGCCATGAACACACTTGTTAAGTACTTATATTTGCTTCAAAAGGGTTGTTCTTGAGAACTTGATATGATCCATTGATGCTCTTCCTTTATATTGTTGTTCGGATTATAGCTCAATTCAAATTTCTAAACTCTAGTTTATGATGTATTGTATTATAGTAAAAGAAAACAGTACATTAATTCAATGCTATTGTAGTATGTGGGTCATCTATGAGTGTTATTTAGCTTTCACATTCAGGTTTTACGCATTCTTTCGTATTTGTTCCATTTGTTAAACAAGTTGGGTTTGAATTAGAACCTTTATTGCATGTATTATTTGTAAGCATCCCTGCAGAGTAGCTAAGGATAGAGTAATAGATGGTCAAGTAACAGTGGTCGAACGAACGTTAAGCGTAGACCTAATAGTTAGCATGACGGACATCGATGTAATACTAGGGATAAATTGGTTAGTCGAAAACCATGGATTGTTAGATTTGGGGTTTAATTTTTTAATCCTTATTAAATGAATAATATTATGCATGAAATACTTTTATTTAACACGAATATATGCTTTCATTAATTATAAACAATAAAAATTACTATAAACTCTTGTAAGGACAACCCTAAATTTATATATATTCTAAGTTTTATAATTTAACATCGAATAAAAAGTATGGTCAATTTTAATCATTAATTTGACAAAAAGAAGTTAGTGAACTTTATAAAATTTGTTTCATTTTTATTTGATTCCTTCAAAAATAAAATTAAAATATTAATTTTGATATTTGCTTGTTATTTTGTCACTTAATATTTACTTGGATACACAAATATATTAATATATATAATTTTCTATAAAAAAAAAAAAAAAAAATCTAAATTCGTAAAGATTAAAATTAGAACAATTTTAGCCATTTAAACTAAAATTTATTTATAAATTAGGAAGAAAAAGGTGTTATTTTAACTTCTTTTATATATATATATATAATAAAGTTTTATACGATAAAAAAATTCAAAGTATTATAATTTTGAAATTTTTGAATGAAATTAATTTTAACACAAATTAAATAAATAGTCGCGAAGTCCCTCATATTCTCGACCTTTCTCTGAACCGCCGATCAGAAGAACACGATATGCTCTCCGTAATGACTTCAAACAGTCTATGGATTCTATTCCTCAGGCTCCTATTCCTCTCCTCCGCCATTCTTTCCATGGAGGAGATTCTGAAGTTCTACGTTCCGCTGGTTGTCGACATCCTCGTCTCTGACGTTCCCGCCGTTTGGAGCTCCATCGTTTTATGGTTAAGGCCTCCTTACCTTTACTTGTTATTTAACTTTATTATCGTCAGTATTCTCGCCTCTTCCAAGCTTCATCAGTACCTGGTAGATCCTCCGCCGACGACGGTGCCGAAGCTGTACGATGATTCACGAGCAGATTTCAGAGTTATTAGAGCCGTCGGCGATGTTCTCGAGAAGAACGGTCGCGATGCGGACGAAGACTTTGCGGCCGATGTTTCGGAAGATGAAGGGAAATCGGATGCGGAATTGTACTCCAAGATTTCAGACGGAGAAAATGATGAAAACGAAGAGACTGATCGGAGCCGATTGCAAAACGAGGATTCGGTGGAAAATTTGTTGCAGAAGTACGATAAGAAGCCGCTGAAGCTGTACGCTGATTCACGAGCAGATTTCACAGTTATTAGAGCCGTCGGCGATGTTCTCGAGAAGAGCGATCGCGATGCGGACGAAGACTTTGCGGCGGATGTTTCGGAAGATGAAGAGAAATCGGATGCGGAATTGTACTCCAAGATTTCGGACAGAGAAAATGATGGAAACGGCGAGACTGGTCGGAGCCGATTGCAAAAAGAGGATTATTTGGTGGAAAAGTTGTTGCAGAAGTACGATAAGAAGCCGCCGATTTCTTTGAAGATCGGTAATCGGAAAGCTGCTAAAGCTGCTACTACTCCTGCAGGTGCGATTCTCTAGTGTTTTTCCTCTCACTCTTCAACGCTATAATTTTCTTTTCAGAAACTGATTAACAGATGGCAGAACCGTAATTAATTTGATATTCGGAGGGTGAATTGTGATGTAGGGACGACGTCGAAATGGTCCACGATGAACGGACACGACACGTTGGACGACGCGTGGAACGCGATAACGGAGGGCAATTCTGCACCGTTCTCTAGACGGTTGGATAAATCCAATACGTGTGAGTCGCATACCACACGGAACGAAGAAGAAGAAGAAACCGCCATAGGCCAAAACAATAGCCCTCCGAAAGTAACGAAATCGGAAACTAGCTTCAAGAACAACGACAAGAACCTGGAGTTGAAACGGTCAGCGGCGGCGGTGAGAGTGAGAAAAATGCCATCGGTGACGGAGGAGGAATTAAACCGGCGGGTAGAGGCGTTTATAGAGAAGTTTAAGGAAGAAATGAGGCTGCAGAGGGAGAAATCACTGAAGAAATTTGAGCTGATGATCAACGGAAGCTATTACTGAAGTTGCTTGCATTCTGATCGGTTAGTTGATTTACGTTGAATGCGTTTTTGATCTAGGGTTTTGTTCTTGAGGATTTTCGTTTCGAGTTCTTTGATTCTTTGATGAACTGTTTTTTCTTTTTATAAAATATATCGAAAGTTAGAGAGGTTCCAATATATCTTCAAAAAAATAAAAATAGAAAGTTAATTGGGCCTTTGGACTTCAGGAGCCCATTTATGATAATTGGGCCATTTGCTGCCCATTAAACCAGATTAGATAGATTAATGGGCTTCTCTTAAAAGTCCAACGTGCATATGACCGGAAATATTATTTTAGGGTTAAAAATATAACTCAAGAGTCCTTTTGAATAATTTATGAACTCAGGGACACGTGGAGAGTTCCCATTGGTTAGAGAAAAAGAATAGTTATTTAGATGGGTTATTTGGCAAAGGCTTGGGCGTGCAATTATAATTGGACAGAGAATAGAATGTATGTGGGAAACGTGAAACTAAATGTTGTGTCTGAAAAAGAAGAGCCCAAAGCCTAAGCCTAAACCTTGTATTACAAGGTACTAGGAACGCCACGTAAGCCAATCTAATATTTTGAGCTTTTATATATATATATATATAAAAATATTGTCTTCTTTGGGCTTTCGGGCTTTCCCCTCAACGCTTTAAAACGCGTATACTAGGGGAAGATTTTTACTCTCTTATAAATGGTGGTTTGTTCTCCTCCCCAATCAATGTGGGACATCACAATCCACCCCTTTCGGGGCGCAGCGTCCTCGTTGGCACTCTTTCCTTTCTCCAATCAATGTGGGACCGCTCCCAAATCTACCCCTTTTGGGGGCCAGCGCCCTTACTGGCACACCGCCTTGTGTCTGCCTCCCTCCGAGAACAGCGAGAAGGCTGACACATCGTCCGGTGTCTGGTTCTAATACCATTTGTAACGTTCCAGATCCACCGCAGCATATATTGTCCTCTTTGGGCTTTCCCTCTCGAGCTTCCTCTCAAGGGTTTAAAACGCGTGTAATAGGGGAAGATTTCCACACCCTTATAAATGGTGGGTTGTTTTCCTCCCAACCAATGTAGGACATTTGAAGCGATTTGTCCGGACAAAGAACATAATCCTCCCTTCTAGCTCCATTTAGCTCGTAAAAAGAATTTTGAGAAATACCAAATAAGCTAACTGAAAAAATAAACACAAAATAATAAAATTGGAAAGTACTTTTAAAGCAAAAAACAAAATAATTGAAATTATTCCATTTTATTATTAAGAGAGAGAGGAGAGAGTAAGTTTTTGTCGGAGTTTCATGTTCCCTACGCCATTATATTGCATCATTAAAATGTGTCCAAATTCCACATGACTTCTCATCCCCAAATCTATAAATAAATAAATAAATAAATAAAAACTTCATATATATCCTTGCTTTCTTAATATCCCTTCTCTCTCCTCCAATTAGACTCCGATTGAATCGAATTAGCTTGAATTTATTATTTATTATTAATTTTAAAAAATATAATTTTGTTACGATTTTGTCCTCTTCGTCTCTGTCTATAAACATACGTTATGGTTTTATTAACTGAAACGAGAAATATTATGGTTTAAAGGTATACTTATATTGATGATTAAATTTTATAATTACAAATATGATAATTAATAACGATTGAATTATGTTCAACAAATATTGAATATTGATTCAATAATTGATGAATCCAATTGAGTAAAATGTTGAATTTTATGAAATAATTTGATATGTTATAATGTACTACTCTACTCTATAGTTTTTAATATACCAAATGTTCCAATTATAATATGAAACGGGTGAAATTGCAATTATTGAAAAACTTTCGAGGGACTAGATTGCAAATATAGCTACAACTTATTTCCCACTTATTTCATAAGAATTGTCCCTTTCACGGTAATATCTTATAATATAAATAAAGCACATAATGTTACGTGAGTTGGAAATTAACGAGTAAAATAACTAGTAAAATTAACGAGTGAACGTGATAATATAAATAAAGCACATGAAATTAAAATGCGGTTATTTAATGAGTCGAGTTTTAAAAAATATTTAAATCTTTCTCGTTACACATAATGTGACGTGAGTTGGAAATTAAGATTTTTTTTATAAAAAATTAAATTGAAAATAAATAAATAAAAAAATCTAATTATTTTAATTAATTAAGCTTTGGACTTCGGAATTTATTGAAATGTTTAATATAAAATATGTCGAAGTGATGAATATTGGCGAACCACAACTTTATAGAAATTAGAACATGATCTCAATCATACACTATTTTTAATTATATTTCTTAGAACATGCAAACCCTCTCCAAATATTTTATTGCATGCCAAGTGGACTCTAATTAATTACGTGGCATAATATATTTATTTTAAATATATATATGTGTTGCTCGTTGTATTGGTGACGTGGCGGTCTCTTCTTCCTCTCACTCCTCTTGTTCCCTGCGCCGCCGCCAACCGTCACCCGCCAGACGTCCTTCCGCCAGATCTGGGCCGTTCGTTTCCAAATCTTGAATATAATATTATTATATTTTTTTGCCACAACTTAAAATTTCCACGTCATTCATGTCCGCTGCCATGTCAAATAGAATTCTAGAGACCAAAGCGATAGATCGAACATGTATTTTGTACTATTTTTCTTTGGATATTCACGAGTCACGTTGTTTGGATGGATTTGAATCATTTTGACATCATATCGTTTGTATAATGTCGTTTTCTTTACCGAAGATGTGGAATCTCAATTTTTCAACTATTCAGTACCTTTTGACTTCCTTGAAGAAGTTGACGAGAGATCGAGATATAAAACAACCCCAATTCTAGTACGAGCACAATGAGATGAGATAACTCCACCTGATCGACTATAGTGGTTTCGTCTAATTGTCATTTCTAGCTCAATATTGACCTAACAAAGTTCGAGGAGAAACAATGGCCTTGTTTGAAAGCTGCATATTTATGATCCATGTGGGACCCAAACTAAATTTATAATTTAATTAAAAAAAAAAGAAGTAAATAATGGTTATTGGTTGAAATAAATAAATATATATATTTTTCATAAAAATGAAGATTACTGTTATTATTTTGGGGAAAAAAGGTTAGATTCTTTAATTTTATTTTTTGAAAAATTAAAATTAATGGAAAAAAAAAAACAAATGTGAAGTTCCAAAAAGGGGTCCGGGGGATTAGGTGGACTTTTTGGTCATTTTGTATTTGTTATAAAGCAAATTATTGATCTAATTTAAAAAAAAAAATTGTATTTTGTATTTTGTCACTTAATTAAGGTGGGGCCCACTTACCGTTATCATTAAATTCCAAATCCCTCTGATTTCCCTGCCACCAACACCATGCATTCCTTTCCCTCCATCATCCATGATTAAACCAACTTCATTTTACCTTTTTGCCCTCCCATGTGCCCTTAATCATCTCCCCACCCCCCTGACTAAATGGTACTTCCAATCATTTTTAATAAATAATAATAAAAAAAAAATTAAACTATTATGGACCGTGCATGTAACTGTACCAGCCGACTGCTAGCGACTCTTCATAGTGGTATGATATTGTTAATTTTGAATATAAAGTCTCATGGTTTTGCTTTCGATTTTCTCGAAACATCTTGTACCAATAGAGATGTATTCTTATAAGTAAAGAATTCTCCCGTCAAACGAATTACATCATAGAACATAGAACCTCCTGTCAAACCTATGGAGCCCTCGAGTAGGCTCTCCTTAATCGAGACTCGACTCCTTTTCTGAATTACATCATAGAACATAGAACCTCCTGTCAGACCTATGGAGCCCTCGAGTAGGCTCTCCTTAATCGAGACTCGAATCCTTCTCTGAATCTCTTGAACAAAGTACACTATTTGTTCGATACTTGAAGAATCTATTGACATGACTAAGTTAAGGGCATACCCCTAATACCATGTTAACAACTCAAGTCTACAGTTAACAAATATTGTCTACTAGATTTTTAAAACGTGTCTACTAGGGAGAGATTTCCACACCCTTATAAAGAATATTTCGTTTCCTTCTCCAATCGATATGAGATCTCATAATTCATCCTCTTTGAGGCCCAACGTCCTCGCTGGCACTCGTTCCTCTCTATCTCGTCTTTTAATTATGTTTAAATATTTTTTTTGCCACTATATTTTAAAAATTAAATTTCAAGTTTAATAGAAAATATTAATATTGGATGATCAATATTGTAAGACTAAAATAAATAAAAAAAATTAATAGAAAATAAATTAAGCTATATAAAAATAAAAATAGTGTAAAGGTAATTTAAAATAATCTCCAAAGTCAAACATGGTTTTTATTTCCTCAAAGGGCATAATTGTAAATCTAATTTTTCTATTTAATTCAAAATTCCCTCCAAATTTAAGCAAAATGTCACGTTCAAGAAACTTTGACTAAAAGAACAATTATTTATTAAATTCCCAAATTCTACAAAATACCTAGTCATGTTCTTTCCAGAAACAATAAAAAAATAATTAAATTAAATTAATTAATTTGGAGATATTTGTGGGCACAATTAAAAACTCATGTCATGACAAAAAAATAAAATAAAATAAATAAATAGGAAAAAAAAAAAAAGACCAACTCTCATTCCAAATTACGCATTTGCCCTTCATCTTAATTAGTATTTACAATTTTAAAAAAGAGGTTTATTCATAATTCAATAAAAACTTAGCATAAATTATATATATATATATATATATATATATATTTGTGTGTGTGTGTGGAGTGAATTAAAAATAAAAATAAAAATAAAAATAAAAATAAAAATAAAAATAAAATGATAAATGTATTTAATGAAATTAAGGGGCGCCAATGAGCCCATACATTTGGTCCACAAAATAGTTGCGGTTTTGATTTTGTGTTGTTGGCCATGTCTTTGTGGTGATGTGATTGACAAAAATGTGTCTTCTTTTTAACCAATAAATTATAAAGGATTTTCCTTTTTCTTCAAAATAGTAATAATAATAATAATTAATAAATGTTCCAATAAATTAAATGAGAAAGACGTCAAATTGAAGTTGAAGTTAACATTGCATCTCATCTTGTTATGCTCCATATGTCTTCACACCATCTCAAGTTTGGGGTGTCGTCGGTCATCACAACTCACTCGGTCGTGTCATCGAGAATTGACCCACGTGTCAGCTCGTCTCATCGGAACATCCTGAACATCCATCCATTTGGGTTCTATCCTGTCATTTACAAATACCGTACCAAATAGCAAGTGCATAATTCAACCTCTGACGTGCTGGCTGGATCGCAATACCAATAGTTCACTTAGACCACACGGCTCATGGAGGATATGACATTCTTAAAGCTCACGAATTAATTAAAACACAAAATTAAATGTTCTAGGGACTAAATTGTAATTTGACAAAAAGAAGAAAAAAAAAACCATAAATTTCTTATTGTCGTGTTTGATGATAAGCCTAAGGAGCATGTTGAATATTTAATGCCATAATTTTAAAAGTAAGATTTTTGAGTCATTGACTATTTAATTTTCAATATGATTTAAATAAAAAATTAATTATTAATAAGTAATTTACATTAAATTTATGAAATAATTAACTTTTAAATACCAAACCTTATTATAATTATATTATTGTCTGATTTAATTTGAAATTAGGTAATCCCAATCGCGACCCAATTATGGTATGTTAATCAATTAATAATAAATTTAAAAAAAAAACTCCAATTTTTACAAATAAATTAAACAGAAAATTGAGAAAAATAAATAACAATTATGATTAAAATTTGAAAATTGAAAATTAAAAATTAATTAAAAAAATATGTATGTATGTATGATGATGATGGCAAAGTTGTAATTTTGAGCCAAAACAACAGAAAATTGAGAAAAATAAATAACAATAATAATTAAAATTTGAAAATTGGAAATTAATTAAAAAATATGTATGTATGTATGTATGGGGATGGCAAAGTTGTAATATTGAGCCAAAACATGGTCTAATGTTGAACCTACAGCTTTAATTCTTTACATGACGATTCAGGCGTTGGTCTCCGGGTTCTGAATATTTTTTGTGATTGCTTTTCATGAAATCCGAATTTCAAGAAAAGAAAATTAGGAATTTAATTAAAATTTTAATTTTTTTGTTCAAACCCAAATGAGAACCAGGCGGGTTCCGGAAGGAATTGCTTGAAACTCTCTCTACGGCTCCACCTACCTGAACCAAATTTTGAAAATTTTCCGTTCTTCACAGAAGCTTCAAGCAACAACAACAACAAATTAACTGAGCTTTCTCTCTCTTCTTTCTCTCTCTTCTTTCAGTTCTTTCAGTTCTTTTTTGGGTTTTTTCGAAACAGAGTGAGAGAGAGAGAAAAAAAACTAGAGCGAAACAACCAAAACTGCTTCTGTATCTTCCATACCCTTCATTTTTTCTGTTCTTCTGTTAATGGAGGGTTGTTGCTTAACGGAATTAGCCTCGTTTCCAATACCTATGGCTGTTGCAGAGTTTGTTTTCGGCGATTGTTCTCTGTTTTTTGTTCTAAAGTGATTCGAGTTTTATATTACCTTCGATTTCTTACTTTCTTTTTCACTTGCTTTTCGAATTCTAGAATCTGGGTGTGTAAGAACTCTTATATGCCTGTTTGATTTTGGTGGGTTTTCAGTGTATTGAACTTGGGGGTTTTGTTTTGGGTTGAATTCTGTGAGTTTTTGGCGTTTTAAGTAGTGGGGTTTTGTCAAAATGATGTTATCTGCATCGCCATCGACGATAGTTCGAAGCTCACTGGAGGAAATGCTTGATTCTCTTCGACGAAGGGATGAGATTGAGATGCCTAAAGACTTGCCGCCGGCATTGCCGTCTCGGCCTACTTCCAAGGCTCGGATTCCACCGCTGCGGCGGGCTTTACCCGTTAATTTCAAGGTTAATGGCGACGGTTCCTCTGAGTGCTGTATTAATGGTTTCAATGGAAGGGAAGATCCATTGAGGAAGGAGAATGGTCTGGCTAACTTTGCATTAAGGAGAGTGAAAAGAGATCAAGGCGATGAATCGCCTTACTTGGTTGCTTCAGAGAAGGATAATGAAGATCAAGTGAATGGTCCGTATGGTTCTTATCCAGAAGGGTCTAACTGGGAGGAGATTATCAGCTATTTTCTCCAGAAGGTACCACTTCTGCTCACAATTTTCCTTATATTAACACATATCTTAATAGGAATATGATCGTTTTTGGATCAATGGCTTTTATATTTTTGGTAATGAATAATGATTATGAACAGTTTATCTAGCCTTGTAGATCTTGTGTGCATGTTCTTCATGATTCTCATGCTTTCTCCTCTATTAGAAACTCCGGGTTTGGTGTCAAATTTCATCTGGACAATGGGAGTTAGGAACTATACAATCAAACAGTGGGGCTGAGGCATCTGTCATGCTCTCAAACAATAAGGTAAGTTCATAAGCTTGGTGATTTATTCGCACCTTGAATCTTGTTTGATTCAAAAACTTATGATGAATGTACACTGATTAGGTTATTAAAGTTTCGACGGTAGATCTTTTACCTACGAATCCCGATATCGTGGAGGGGGTTGATGATCTTGTACAGCTTGGTTATTTGAACGAGCCCTCGGTTGTTAACAGTCTTCAGCAACGATTTTCTCGAGATGAAATTTATGTTAGTGTGGTTTAGTTTTGATGCGCACTGTATGAGTGTTTCGTTTCGAGATGGTTTTGTTCTTGTTGTTGTTTGACTGTTTCTGGGTATTCTTGTTGCAGTGTAATGCAGGGTCAGTTTTGATTGCTGTTAATCCCTTGAAAGACACTAAACAGTATGGAGATGGATTGATTACAGCTTATAGAGAGAGAGTCATGAATGACCCTCATGTTTATGCTGTAGCAGATGCTGCCTATTCTGGGGTGATGCAAGGTAGAATAATTCATCTGCACTATCTTTTATTGTAACAGCTCAAGCCCACCGTTAGTAGATATTGTCCTCTCTCAGCCTTTCCTTTTGGACTTTTCTTCAAAGTTTTTAAAACGCGTTTGCTAGGGAGAGGTTTCCACATCCTTATAAAGAATGTTTCATTCTTCTCTCCAACTGAGGAAGGATCTCACAATCCACCCCCCTTTGAGGCCCAGCGTCCTCGCTGGCGCTCGTTCCCCTTTTCAGTCGACGTGGGATCTCACAATCCACTTCCCTTCGGGGCCCAACGTCGTCGCTGGCACACCGCTCGGTGTCTGGCTCTGATACCATTTATAACAGCTCAAGCCCACCGCTAACAAATATTTTCCTCTTTGGGTCTTCCCTTTCGGGTTTCCTCTCAAGGTTTTCAAAACACGTCTGCTAGGGAGATGTTTCCACACCCTTATAAAGAATGTTTCGTTCCTCTTTCTCACTGATGTAGGATCTCATAATCCACCCGCCTTTGGGGATCAACGTCCTCGCTGGTACACCGTCCGGTGTCTAACTCATACCATTTGTAACAAATATTGTCTTCTTTTGGCCTTCCCCTCAAGATTTTTAAAATGCATCTGAGAGAGAGATTTCCATACCCTTATAAATAATGCTTCGTTCTCCTTCCCAACCGATGTGGGATCTCACAATTTATATTCTTTTGTTTATTTAAGCTTTGTATTTCACTAGTTGAGTTTATATCTAACACCCACAAATCTGGGTTGATATTCATGTTGCAGATGAAGTTAATCAATCTATTATCATCAGGTTAGATTTCGATTTTGTATTCCGAAATCCAGGATATTTCTACGCGTATAACTTGTATTCAATGATATATTTTTTCCCTTGTTCTTCTAGTGGTGAAAGTGGAGCAGGAAAAACTGAGACAGCAAAAGCTGCACTTCAGTACCTGACTGCTCTTGGCGGTGGCAGTGGCATAGTTGATAGAATCCCACGGGCTAACGTTATCCTCGAAGCATTTGGGAATGCTAAAACCTCCAGAAACAACAATGCCAGCAGATTTGTCAGTTTTTCTAAAACATTTCCTTCAATTTTGGAAAAAACTCTAGCAGACATTCTAGTCTGACCAAGCTAGTTTGTCCCTTGTGCAGGGGAAGCTGATTGAAATTCTTTTTAGCAGAACAGGGAAGATATGTGGTGCTGTAATCCAGACATGTAAAGAACTTTTGTGCTGAAAATATTAGGATAATTTTATAAATTATGTTTCTGCTTACTTTTATTAACTTTCTGTAACGTTACGTGCATATCACACGTCGACTCATCTGGCAAATATCAATTAGTTCTGTTGGAAAAGGTAATTATCTCTGTTCTATCAGATCTTTGATCAAAACATACTGTGTAATTATGTGTCACCCTGAAGTTGTTATGTCTTCTTTGAGCAGTCGAGAGTTGTTCAGCTGGTCAATGGCGAGAGATCGTTCCATATCTTCTATCAACTTTGTGCTGGAGCGCCATCTACACTTAAAGGTATCTGCGTTCGTGTTTTCTTTTTCTAATCATCAACTTTGTTCTCTTCATGAATATCTAGAAATTGTAATTGTTTCGTTGCTTTTGTTTCTTCAGAGAAATTGAATATCAGAATGGCCAGTGAGTACAGTTACCTTAATCACAGTGAATGCCTCGTGATCGGTAGTGTGGACGATGCACAGAAATTTCATGTTCTTGTGGTAAAGAAATATATACTTCTTTGATCCGAATGCTACCGACCAACTTTTTTGAGATTTTATTCGATCTATCTCGACTGTGTCAAATCCCTTTTTCTCCTTGCCTACAGGAAGCCTTAGATATGCTTCAATTCACAAAAGAAGATCAAGAGCATGCATTTCGTTTGCTTGCTGCAGTTTTGTGGATAGGGAACATTACGTTTCAAACGATTAATAGTGAAAATCATGTGGAGGTCGTCATGGCTAATGAAGGTAACGCTCGGACCAAGATATGTACTACTTTGTTTAAACGTGGCATGCATTTAATTACGCACGATGCTATAATTTGACGTTGATAGCCCTTGTGACGTTGGTAAAAGGGAAGACTTGCGGCGTTTAGGACCTACATAATTATGCAGTATGCTGTTTCATTTGCTTTATGTATTTTTGAACTTTTTTTATACAGCGATCGCAAACGCTGCCGAGCTGATGGGTTGCAGTCCTAATGAGCTTAAGTTAGTTTTGTCAACTCCAACATGCAATCGGACATTACGACAGGTTGCTTTCTATTCTCCTCATCTGTGAAGTTGATATATATCAATTCCCAGCTGTCTTAGAAAACCATTCTTCTATCGTAACACGATGTCCATTTGTCGTTACAAATACAGGCAACCGATGCAAGAGATGCATTGGCAAAATTCATTTATGCAAGCTTGTTTGACTGGCTTGTAGAACAGATCAATAAGTCACTTAAACCAAGAAGGGAGCACTCTGGAAGATCCATAAATATCCTCGACTTCTATGGGTTTGAGTCACTTAAGGCACGTTATTTATCCGTCTATGTGTAACTATTTTTTTAATATGAAACGACATGTTATGGTGATTATCTCGTTGTCCCCAAATTCAGAAGAACGGCTTCGAACAGTTTTGTATCAATTATGCAAACGAAAGACTGCAGCAGCATTTTATTCGGCACCTGTTCAAACTTCAGCAGGAGGTGAGCTCTAAAATCACCTGTACTTCACGCAATTCTTTAAAGAAAATGTTGCTTGTTCTTCCCTTAATTCTGAAGTCTTCCACGCACTTCCATGATTTGTGTTCTTGCTTAATTTTGTCATTTTTATAAACAATCCAAGGAAAGTTGCATACCATGGTTGATCGGTTTATTTTGCAGGACTACGAATTTAATGGGGTCGATAGCACCAAACTCAACTTCAAAGACAATCAAGAGTGTTTGAATCTTATCGAGAAGGTGACTAATTTTGAAACTCGAATTCACTCGGATAGTTGTTTTCAACATAATTACATGATCCATATCATTTTAAGCATATATAAAAAAATATTTCCATATCCTGAGATAGCGAGATTAATTCGTTTTATCTGGTGCAATCGAGCAGAAACCTATCGGAGTTCTAGCTTTGTTGGACGAAGAGTTGAGTTTTCCCAAGGCTACAGATCTGACATTTGCTAATAAACTAAAGCAACACTTCAAATCTCATCCTCGCTTTAAAGGCGAGAGAGGCAGGGCTTTTGGCGTTCGCCATTATGCTGGAGAGGTTAGTTGTTTCTATCTCCTTTCTCTTTTTCTAAGCAAAAAGGTTCATTACCGTGCCGTGCACAAATTTTATCATCATCTCGGTTCCCTTCTGTAGGTTGTATACGATACCAATGGGTTTTTGGAAAAGAATAGAGATATGCTGCATTCAGATTCCATCCAACTCTTTTCATCATGTTCTTGCAAGCTACTGCAATTATTTGCCTCAAAAATGGTTAACTATTCCCACAAACCAACAGTTTCAATGTGTTCTACAGAAGTAGTACAATCCCCTGAGCCAGGCGCTGGTACCAAGTACAAGGTAAAATGGTCGTGAGCGTTTCGATTTTCTTTATTCAAAACTTTCGTGGTAACTTATAATCCAAAAAATTTGTCTCTTCTGTTTGGATAGGTTCTACTATGTGACCTATTTCGTAAATTGGAGCGCACCAGCCATCATTTCATTTGTTGCATAAGACCAAACAGGAATCAAGTTTGTGGCGTATTCGAGGAGGACCTCGTCTTACAGCAGCTTAGATACTCTGGAATTTTGGAGGTTGTCAGAATTTCAAGATCTGGTTATCCTACCAGAATGATGCATCAAGAATTTGCTGAAAGGTAGAAGAATTTTTTTTTTTTCACTATCTTCTTTAGATTTTATGCTATAACTAATCTGTTATTGAATTTCATATCTGAATATGATATAAGGTTCGGATTCTTCCTTAAAGAAACTGGTGTATCTCGAGATCCGTTGAGTACATCAATGGCTGTTTTGCAACGATTTAACGTCCACCCCCATATGTACCATGTTGGTTATACCAAGCTATTTTTCCGAGCTGGGCAGGTGAGTCCTGTCGTGTTTGGTTTTTCTTCCTTCCTTTCTCTCTTTTTTTTCCCAGTTTAGATAAGAAATGACATTTCATTGGTTTTGTGGCTCTCAGATTAGGGCATTGGAGGAAAGGAGGAAGCAAGTTGTACAAGGCGTCCTAGCGGTTCAAAAGTACTTTCGTAGTTGCCATTCCCGTGGCCACTTCCTTCAACTTAAGCAAGCAGCAACTACCTTACAATCACGTATGTTATCTATCTTTAAAGTTTCGACTGCCAGTCGCGTAATACATTGGTGCTGTTTCGTTTGTAGATTTGACTTTAGTTATATTTTATCTGTACCCATTGTAAATGCATGCTTCTAATCAAGAGTATAATCTGCTATAAATACTGATTAATTGTTTATTCATGCAGTTATTCGTGGCGAAAATGCCAGAAGGAGATGTACCGTTAATGTGCCGAGGTTCTCATTCGTTGTTTATGCTTCCAGTGTTCCTAAGAAAGTTTACGAGCTGCAAGCAGTCATACGAATACAATCGGGTAACTGTTATTGTTGTGTTATGGTACGACATTTGTAATGATTGGCATCGTACATAATCTTATATTTTTCATTTTACCCCTCAGCTATACGTCGATCGTTGGCTCGAAAGCATTTCAAGAGCATACGGAGCTCTTTTCGAGAAAACAGAATGTCTAAACTGAACGCAGACAGGAGAGCTTCAGAGGTAAAGGCACTCCACCTAACATGCTGCAGCTGACAACTTTTCATGTGTTGGCTTCTGTTTTTAAGTTCATATGATTATTAACCGTGTAATCGTGCTCATAAGATCGTAATTCTTCTTTCTCGAGCAGGACAAACTTCAAGAACAGGTTGAATCCCTAACAACAACTGTGGGTGAGCTTCAAAAGAGGGTTGTGATGGCAGAAGCAGCCATGGAGAAAAAGGAAGAGGAAAATGCTGCACTGAGGGAGAAAGTAAAGCAATTTGAGTGTATGCGGTCAGAATATGATGCCAAGATGAAATCCATGGAGGATATGTGGCAAAAGCAGACGGCTTCTTTGCAAGTAAGTTTACAATCAGGATTCTTGATTTTTTTACTTCTCTTTTGAGCTGAGCTGAGATGTATATTTGTTAATGCCAGATGAGTCTTGCTGTTGCTAAAAGGACTCTTGCTGCTGCTGAAAATGTAGCCTGTCCGCTCGGAAGAGTTGATGTAGCTAATTCACCGCCTCACTATTACGATTCTGAGGATATGACGTCGATGGGATCTCGAACTCCCGGTGGTACCACGCCTGTAAAAGCCTTTGGAATTTCTGAGGTTGGAGCAGGGCGAGAAATGAACGGTGCTTTATTTGCAGTGAGCACTCTTGTAAGGGAATTTGAACAGAGAAGAATCGCATTTGATAACGATGCGAAAGCTTTAATTGAATCAAAATCAAGTCATGCACAAACACGGTCTAATATGAATCCAGAAGAAGAATACCGTAAAATTAAAGTCCGATTTGAAGCATGGAAGAAAGAGTACAAAGTAAGATTACGGGAAATGAAAGGAAAGGTTCATAAATACGGTCATTTTGAGGTCGATAAACTTCGTCGAAAATGGTGGGGGAAGTTGAGCTCAAGATCATCATCATAGCATGTCAGTTTTGGACAGTTGAATCAGTTCAGCTCTGTGAATGAAAGGATATAGCTCTTGACAACTTGTTGGTGTTGAAGCTGTACCTGATAGAGCCGAGAAATGTGTCGCCCGTGGGGAGGGAGTGTTCGGATGGTTGTGCATAGCTAAACCGTAATATGCTGAGGGATTTCAGAACCAACGTCTCCGCTGCATAATAGTTTAGTTTGTGTATAGTTTGTATTGTCATTATATATATATATATTCAGTTTGATGGTATAGATGTTGATAGTTTGTAGCAGCAAAGGAAGAATAGAAGGTGTTCATACTGTTTGTACTTCTGGATAGAGTGAATGAGCTCCATTATTATTTAATGGAAAGCTTAGTTTACTGATATCCTCTGCACTCATTTATCACCTGCAAATTCTCCAGCCAAATATGAAGGTCTAACAGATGAAAATGGCCCCAAATGCTTGACATAATTCAATACTCTAGAACAAACAAACATAATCTCTTAGGTATCAGTTCTTTCGGCGGCAAAAAAAGGAAGTTGACTTTGTCGACCTCAATTTTTGTCGACCTCAATTAAAGTAAAGACGCAAAACATCTAGAGGTGGTAAATGAAGTATTCTTTATATACATCAAGACCGATTTACCTCTTAAAATGGAAGAAACAATTGACTCTATCGATACAGTAATAATCCAGTAAAGATTGAGAAATAAAATGTTATATAATTAGAATAAAGCTCCCTGGAACTTAAATTGTTAAATATATAAAGCTAAGGTCACTATTGTGCCAAAAAAAAAACATAAAAAGAAGTTACTCTGCTTACCAACCAACACCTACAGAACATCCATCTTTTCCAGTTAATAAACGCAAGTCTCCAGCTGAAATGTGCTACATCACAAAAACGATTTAACACGGCATGAATTATATGGTGGATGAGTTGATAGGACAGGAAATATGTTCTCAACTCGAATCAAGACTCGGGTCGCCTCATGTCGTAGCTGGCAGTGAATCTATGAGGTTACATTCATGGCAAAGGTAGCTTAGCTATCTACCTTTTCTCAGTGCACCATAATTTCTCGTCGCCTGAAAATGTTAAGATAGATCCAGGGTAACAGTATGTGGAGGATCTCTCATTCTCACTCTCTCTAACAACTATATCAAACAAAGATAGTTCTATGACATTTTATTTTTTAGAACTCAAATGATACCATACCAACTGATGCAAGTGGTCTGTTATGCATTGTAGATATACTAAAAATGAGGAGAAACCATAACTTCATTTCCCATTAAGCTAGTGAAACAAGAAAAAGAAGGTATTTAACGTGTGATGCAACAGTATTTAGACGAAGTCCCCCAGGCAAGAGAAAGTTTTAAACCATATTTGAAGCATTACTCTTTTAAACAAATCAGTAGGTCAATAAGGAATATTTAAAAAATTCTCCATGTAAAAGGAAATGAATGCTAACCCGAGGTTGAGACTTATTTAATATCTTTCTAGCGTTGTCTTCATCATCGCTGTCATCTTTGCTGTCATCTCTACCCATGAACGTTCTCTGAACTGCGGAGTTGTCTGATTTCTTTCCCCGTTTAGACTGAGTGGATCCTCTCCCTCTACCCCTTGGAGCAGTGCGCTTTCTTCCTTTGCTGAGAAGACTATCATCATTTTCCTAATAGAAAATGAACGTGGTTCAACAGATTAATCAAATAAGCATCAGTAATCCTCAATATTTCACGAAATTTTTCACAGGCAATAAGCCAAAATTACTGAAAATATCCTTGAATTTTGTATTTCGTTTAAAAAATTTCTTTAAAAAGTTTCAATAATTCATTTAAACTAGAAAAAAAAAAAAATCAGTTATGGTTGGGTTTTGGATGGAAACAAGTAGTATTTTGTTTCAAACATAAAACTAAACTTTCAAAAGTTTCATTTATACCCTTCAACCTTCAAAATTAAGGGTAAGGATTTTTTTTTATTTAAAGTAAGTATACTGTCAGAAACTTTTGAAATATTTTCTAAACAAAGTAGATATTTAGCCAAAATTAAAATATGGAAACTTCAATAGTTAATATTTACGATTTTATCTATAAGTTCTACATTCTGCAGCTGAATTAACTCAAACTAATTGATAAAGGTACCCTACCGAACTGTCATTAATTTCTTCCACTTCATTTTCCCTTGGTTCTCCGCTAGAAGCAGAATTCATAACATCTGTATCGGCTATGCTTCGAACAGTAGCAGTTGCAGTAGCAGATGCAGATCTGCATTTTTAGCTACAACATTACATATTATGATTGAAGTATGACACCAAGGACGTTCTTTATATTTAATCATCATACGAACAAACAGTAACATCCTTTTTAAACTTCAAGGCTATCAATATATTTGTTGTAAAAGAGAGAAAACAAGATAATATAATTTGGACATCAACCCTTTACGCTTAAGTGTCTATATAATGCTGGAACTATAGATAGGGATATTTGGCGAATCTAACCATTCTATTTTTCTTCTTGGTTGGGAAGGGCAAAATTGTGGGAGACACAAGTAAAACCTTACAACCAGCTGCTATGTTAGTGTTCCACGACATGCTTATTAGATAGTGATTATTACTTTCCCTTTGTTTCAAATCTCTGACTCAGCAGGTTTTTGCAGAGAAAAACACTGGCTAACAGCTAATTGTAGTTTTAGGAGTTTCTACTGGCATTCTTTACTAAACAATATTTACTAATAACTGAGTCAGGAAGAACCTTTGCGATTGTCGAAATCCAAGAGATGCGTCTAGAGTTGTCTGCTTCAGGCTACTGGTGCCCCTCCCTCTACCCCTTCCCCTTCCTCGTGTGGAAGTTTTAATTGGAGTGTCATCAGCTGCCTTAGATGATACTTTCCGACCTCTAGTGGGCTTTGACCCAGATGCTTTTACCGTATCCTCATCATCACTGAAAGAAACAGCAGACCCAACTGCCGTGGAACTTTTACTGCCTAAATCCTGATATTGCGCATGATTAACAAAATTCTAATAGATAACAAGAGAGAAAATTCATGTGATGAGATGTAAGAGTAGAATAAAGTATAACTACTTTTGACGACTGCATAGATGATGTGAATGCCATATCCTTCTTGGAATGGGTGTTCCTCTCCTTGACTCGATCCTGTAGAAAATATATTCCTTTATCAATTACATGCATATTTACCACCCCTTCAGTTTTTTATCTAAAAAAAAATTAAAAAGAACATCTAACTTTAATTCATGCACATTTATACCAAACTATAGACTTAAACGGTGTACTCTCATTTATATGTTTGCCATCCCGACGATCTGTGCACTTATTCCATTTATAACTGCTTCCATATATTTCCTTTCTAAATATTATTTCTTTCGGAGTATATGTGTGGGCGAGTGAGCGTAAGTGTGTGTGTGTGTGTGTGTGTGTGTGTGTGTGTGTGTGTGAGAGAGAGAGAGAGAGAGAGAGAGAGAGAGAGAGAGAGAGAGAGAGGGAGAGAGAGAGAGAGAGAGAGAGAGAGAGAGAGAGAGAGAGAGAGAGAGAGAGAGAGAGAGAGAGAGAGAGAGAGAGAGAGAGAGAGAGAGAGAGAGAGAGAGAGAGAGAGAGAGAGAGAGAGAGAGAGAGAGAGAGAGAGAGAGAGAGAGAGAGAGAGAGAGAGAGAGAGAGAGAGAGAGAGAGAGAGAGAGAGAGAGAGAGAGAGAGAGAGAGAGAGAGAGAGAGAGAGAGAGAGAGAGAGAGAGAGAGAGAGAGAGAGAGAGAGAGAGAGAGAGAGAGAGAGAGAGAGAGAGAGAGAGAGAGAGAGAGAGAGAGAGAGAGAGAGAGAGAGAGAGAGAGAGAGAGAGAGAGAGAGAGAGAGAGAGAGAGAG